GCTCGGAAAAGTTAAATGTACCATGTCCTGGCAATAAAAACTGTGAAGGGGAGGTTCACCCAGCTCGTTACTCTTATACATTAAAGGTATATTATTTAGCACACACTCGAATTCTATTAATATTGTAGAGAGCTCTTCAAAAATCAGTAATGCTCTCCCTAAAATTTTCTTCAGAGGTTCCTTAATGCTTCTCATCAAACTCTTCCAGAACCCTCCCCATCATGGGAAAAGCTCAGGTATGAATTTCCATGTTATCTCTTTGGATGTCAAGAAATCTCTTACACTTGGCTCTGCTCTGATTCTTTTAAATCCTTTAATTATTTTGCATGTGCTGCGGAAATTCTTGGCATTATCTGAATAAATCACTTTGCAGCTCCTTCTTCTTGCTAAAAAACGTCGTAATGAAAAAATAAAACTTTTTGCTGACATTTCTGAAACCACTTCAATGTGTACAGCACGAGTAATGGCGCATGTAAATAAGGCTATGTACATTTTTTTTTGTGGATATCCGCTTTATCTCTAATAGTAACCGCTTCCATTAAGTCAATGCCTACAACTGTGAAAGGATTACTTTGGACTACGATCTCTTGGTAATTGACCGTTAACTGTTTGGCGGGTTCACTGCGAACTTTTTACATACGAGGCAAGTGGTAATAACTTTCTTTACTACTTGTCTTCCTTTAGGTATCCAACATTTATTCCTGACTTTGGATAATGTTGCAATGACTCCTGAATGGAATACTTTTATGTGTTCACTAAATATCACTAGTTCGGTGAACTTCGTTTTCGGCAGAATAATGGGATGCTTTTCGTCACCAATTAATTCTGCTTGTTCCAAACGACCTCTGACACGCAAAATACCTCTACGGTCCAGATATGGTGCTAAACTGTAAAGCTTAAAATCTAGTGTTATTAGATTATAGTTGTTGAATATCCGAAAAATAATTCCCGCTCTGGACTTGTTTTATGGATAGTACAGTAAGAGGACCTTCTTCACAGGTACATTTTCTTAGCTTGGTGACAAACCGCTTTACCCAAGCTGTAACTGAATTAATTGAATGAGAAATACTCAATCGTCTGTGAAAACTGTTTCTTTTTTGTTTTGTTTGCTTAATTTCTTTTATACATAATTCTAGCTTTATTTTAGTATTTGAACAGAACATGTGGCAACGATTAGATAATTCTTTAATGATATAAATTTGGGGCATTCTGAGTTATAATATGAACGAAATATAATACTGGTAAGTGAACCTAGCGCCAGAGTGTCGCTATGGTAACCAAATAGAGTGAATTTTAAAGAATGCATTTATTCTATTATGGTTTATCCGCTGTCGGTGAAGTAGATTTATTTCAATCCAGTAAGTTTAAATGAAATCCAAGAAAAAATGCATATAATTTAATATTCCGTACAAGGAAGTCATGTGGTGTACACATCAGATTTTTTACTTTTAAACTCTCGTACTGCCGGATTTGAAGATGCAAATGTATGAATTCTTAAATCTTTCTTTACCAATAGTTGGTAAACTTGCTTTCCTAGAAATAGACTGCGCATAACAACATAACATTAAATGTGGAATTATTTCTGAGTAGTTGGCCTCTCAATGTTTGATAATAAATCACATCATTAGGAATTTACTTATTCAGTGTTTCAAGGAATAGTGAACTGATGCTTGTGTATTTTACGGAACCTGCATCATTTTTTGTGGATTTATTTTCTTGCACATTTGCATCACACAGGCTCTCTAAATGCGACATAGATTTGCAAATATTACATTTAACCCACTTCGCCTTACAAAATGTTTTTTTGTGACCTTTTTTTAAATAGTGCTTGCGTTTAAATTGATTGTATAACGCTTTATGTTTCTCTGAAATACTTAAGTCGCAGTCTTTTTGAGAGGTGAGATTTAAGACAAAAGTCGCACATATAATTTTCAACTGATGTATTAGGCGTCGCCGCTGATACCATTTTCTTTTTAATTAGAGTAACACTCTTACGATAGTTGTCACTATTTCTTTCACTTGATATCGAAAGTGTTTGTTGATTAAGACCCAGAATTAATGACTTTTCACGCGTTTCTACTCTCTTTAGAAACAACAATAAATCTGACACTGTTGACTTTGTGCCGACCTTTTGTACCCTACTAAAATGTAACACTAAATCTTGTGGTATACACTTATATGAAATGGGAAGTAATAATTTGCCATAAGAATTAAAATTAATGTCTAATGTCTCTAAACTTCCTGTTTGAACCGTTATTTCATCATATAGTTTTCTTAAACTGCATACTTCACTTGAACGACGTACTGGCTCCAAAGCTAGCAGAACGTTCATATGCTCGCTAACTAATATTTCTTTTTTCCCAAATCTGTCAGTTAAGATTTTAATGGCCTTTTTTATAGTTTTGTCCTATTAATGGCAATCCGCTTATAGCTTTTGCAGCTGAACCGGTGACTAAAGATCTTAAATAGTTAAATTTCTCAACATCTTGAAGCGTATTGTTTTCATGAATGGCAGCTTTATACTGAGCCCAAAATTCAGTAAATTTACATAAATCGCTGCTGAAAGTTTCTAAAGTAATGAGAGGTAATTTAGTATTATAATTAGTTTTGATTTCCGAAACTTGTGAAGCTATTCCGGTTTTACCCACGTTTTGAATATATCTATTGTCTTTCGATATACATCTAATGATGGATTCGCTGTATTCTAAACAATGTTCTACCTCTGTCTCTAATTCCTTAACAGTGCTTTGAGCATTAATAACTTCATCATATTTTAGCAAGCTAGTTTCTCTCTCGATTAACATTGAAAGCGATTCCTGCAACACTTTTAGGGTCGGATTTTCGCTTTGCAATTCCTCTTCCAATTTCCTTATTAATTTTGTTACACTGGTATGAACCAAACCTCTAATTTTTCTTTTTCTCTGGATACTTTCTTCAAAACTCATTTTCAAAGATAAATTGCATGCAGATAACCTTTCCAGCCGATGCACCAAAAACTTGTATGTAATAACTTAATATTCCATACGTGGCATCGGTGGATATTGATATGTGGATATTGATATGTTATGATATCAAATAAAGACACTTTCCTTTAACTAAAGCTATTTATGAATCAAAGACTATGTACAAGTATTATATACAGATTACAGGATATCTTGTTTATACCACTCTCATCAAACTCTCAACTCTCTCTCGTGAAAACTTTTAATTCACTACACATACGAGCGGCACAGTGCCCTCTATCTCTTTTTTCCTACACCACTATATTTCCATTAGAACAAAAGAAATAAAAACCAGCTTGTAAGTAGATTTATTTATTGATTTTCAGGATAAGTATCTAACTAGAATGCAAAACATATGTGTAATAATTTTTATGTATTTTTTAATCCCGCGAGTGCGTGTGCTGGATCCAATGGACTCGTCCGATTAAAGGAACCTTTCTGAAAACACCCCTATTTTCCCAAGTGGTTGTCGTTCAGTGTAGTCTCCTCCAAAGCCATCCATTTTATGTTTCTGTAGTTTTTCGCCTGAAATTTTATTCGAAGTTTTGTTTTAATCAGATCGAGTCTTTCAGACCCAGTGTGCCTATTCGCATTGCTGTAAGGTAGTTCATTTGTGGTAGCACAGAGACCTGCAAACATGTCACGTAATTTATCCTATAAGGAAGAAATGTTACGTTTGCAAAAATTGTTAGATGTATCAATTGAAGATTATTAGATGTATCATTATTAGATGTATCAATTGAAGACTTCATTGAAGAAACTGATGACGGAATATATTATATAATTTTTTAGTTCTCATGATACTGATTCAGAAATCAAAATGCATTTTGAAAACGAAAATGAGAATGACATTTACTGCTTTATCGTAAAAGACAAAATGCCCAATGGTTTAAAAAAAAAAAAAAAAAAAAAAAAGCCTAACGCTGATTTAAAACTCCTCATAATATTATTACTAAATTGCCTGGAAACATCGGTAAGGCAGACTATGTGTAGACTCCAAATGAATCGTGGGAACTTTTACTGAGTAAATAAATGTTGCTGAAAGTCGTCAGTTATGCAAATATTTATATTGCATCTATTTCTGACAGCTTTCAAAGAGAGAGAGAGATGCTCATAACACAACTCTAACTGAAATTCACCCTTTTATAGGTCTTTTATATTTTTGTGACATAAGTCATCTCATATAAATGTGCGGAATCTGCAGGCAACAGACGGAACCGGCTTGGAAATTTTCCGCAAAACTATGTCCTACATTTTTTTTTTTTTTTTATCAAGATGTTTGTGTTTCGATGATATAGGAACTCGCGTCATCAAGAAAGAATCAGATAAACTTCCACCTATAAGAGAGGTTTTTGAGGATTTTGTTAATAATTGCCACAAATATTACACTGTTGGTGAGTTCATGACGATTAAGGAAAAACTTGAAACCTTCCGAGGAAGATGTTCTTTCAGGCAGTATATGCTTGATAAATCTGAATAATAATTCCTGAATAATAATATGAATTCCTAATAAATTTCATATTAATATAATACATTTTTCTATTCCTTTAAAACATTTATTTCATAAAAATATTATTGAAATTGAAATTAAAATTTTAATTTTTATAGTTTGCATATTTTTAAAGTTTGATCGTAAAATTTTGACATAAATCTAACACTTTTACCTGAAGAGTAACAGTTTTTTCTTCGAAAACCACAAGCCGGGTCTTTTGGACCCAGGGTGTGCATTCCCGGGTTTAAGTAAATTTTCACTATTGAACTGAATGATGACTTATGTCGTCATTCTTTTTCATTTGTAGCAAATTTTAAAATTACACTAGGGGGATCTGTTAATAAGTACCTATTTTAGTTGTGAAAAATCTATACAAATACGGAATATATTATTTAGCAAAATGAATCTTTGTCTATCTTATTCATCTGAAATTAATTACAAAAGTTTTTAACATTTTTTCATGCATTTGAAATATTTTTTGAAGCAGAGATATTTAATTATTTCAGATAATGGTGATGCCATAGTGACTTTACTTCCAGTGAATAACCGATGTCCATGGATAACTAAAGCACAATTTAAACCAGAACTTGTTCCTGAAGAATTAATGGCCCAAGGTCTAACGGTGCGTTAAATATTTGCAATATAGTTGAAATATCATTTATCAAAAAAGTGTTAAGAAATGCTTATAAATTAATTTTATTTCTTTGAATCATAGATATGAATTTATAAAAGTATCCTTTATGTTTGTATTTCATCCAACATAATTTTTTTAAATGAATTTAAACATTTACCTCTTTTTTTTTTTTTTTTTTTTTTTTTTTTTTTTGATAATGAAGTTGCATTTGTAAAGCATTTGGAAATATGTTTGTCTTTCATTTCATTTATAGAATTACAAATTACCTTCTGATTTTTTGTTGAGTTTACAGATAAAAATATAAGTCTGCAAATTAAAATATAAGCAATGTAAATAAAATTTTTAATTTCATTATGTTTATTTGGAATTGAATTTCATATTGCCTTTTAAAAGTAATTTTAACATTAGTGTATTTACTATTACAGTTCTTGTATTGTTTTACCAAATTTTGCATCCTAATTGAAAGGGGCCATGATTTAAGCAGGGAAAGGCTATAATTATTTTGTTATATTAAAAATTTTAAGATTTCCCCTTTTTATTATTTAAGATTGTTCTGAGACTATCCATAACTTCCCATGTATTTGTTGGTAACACCCATATTGCTGCACCATATGTTATCATTTTGATTATTAGTGTTTTCAATAAAATTTTTAATGTATTAAGAGTTAAGTCCCCAGCTCTAACCTTGCATCCAATGTAATGTGAATCATATTGCTGCAGTGCATAATTTAATGTTCTAGAGTTTATGAATCCAAGATAATTTCAGGTCTATAATAATACCAAGATATTTTATTGTTTTAACTGTTCTGATTCTATTGGCTTCAATATTGAATATGATGTTTTTGAAAATTTTCTTGTCTGATTCTTGTATAACTAGCTCTTGAATGTTCTAGTACTATATCTTCATCAGCTTTTTGTGCATCATGCAGTAAAGCCAAATTTTAGGTTTGTTTGCCTGAAGAATCAAAGTATATATAATGACTGGACTGTGAAACATTGTCTGGTATGAATTTGTTATCAGTTTCATTAATAAGATGATGGGAGGTCAAAATTAGGTTGAACCATTCCTTGCCATTCTGAGTTTGGAATAAAGGTAAATCAGAGCATTGGTTATGTAAAATTAGGTCATGAGAATTAATAAATTCTTTCAGTAAATGCCTTTTCAGACTTTACGTTGCATATCCCTATAAATCACCAGATATCATGCGAGGGGAAGGAACTGCACTTGAAATTTTATCTAGGTCCTCAAGTATATGAGTAATATTTTCTATTGGGAAAGCAATAAGGCTGGAGACCAGAAGCTGTGAATTTGATTTGTTGATATTAATGGCAACTAAATCTATTTTTGACATCACTATTGCCTTGTTATAACATACAACAACCACTCTTGGTTGGAGTGCTTTATTTTATGGTGTATATTTGATTATATTCCTTGTCAGTAGTAATGTTGCAACCTTGTTGTCAATGCAGTGTGGTTTCTGCAGTGATATAACATATATGAAATTGTTTGGTAAATATACTGTGAGTTGATCTGATGCAATTTTAGCTCTTTTTAAATTTATTTGCATGTAGAAATTTTACGGTGTTAAAGCCATAGCTAGTATAAAATAAATCTGTATTCATTGTAGCTGTTATTTTTAATTATAATTTAAAAAATATGCATATTTTTATTTATTTATAGTTTCTGTTGTTAATTGATTCTTACTGACATTAACTGAGCCCACAGTTTATTCTTGCTTTTATTTCGCTAACTTGTTTTTGGTACATTGTACAGTTTAGTGCATATGCTGGGTGATTGATATCTGATTTGGTATTGTTGATGCTGCTGTATAACTTGCAGCTAATGCGTGATGGAAGTTAAGACCTGCAGTGTCTGATTTCCTGGTTGCTACTGCAATAGCTGCATTATGCATGACATTTACAGTTGTGTTGTGAATGTTCATAGTCCTAGAACCTAAATTTGATTTTAAAGGTGCACCATCCACAACTGAAAAACTTTTTGTTGATTAGTAACTTAAATGCCATTGGCTTACATGCAGCCACCCATCATACTACATCTTTAAGCTTCCTTGTTTAAAAAGAGGTTTTTGTTTAAGGCAGTTTGAAAAGAAGGGATTTTGGTTATATTTATACTCTTGGACTATATGCAATTTACATCTTCTTGATTATACACTTTTGGTACATTGTATATTGTATATTTTGACATTCTACTTTTAGGGATTCTTATGTCAGCTTATTTTTTGGCGTCATATGATTTGTCGATGAACTCTGTAATTTTCTGATTGTTACTTCTTTTGCAAGTGGTTGCAGTACCTCCTTTCTGGAATTTAATGAATTTATTTACAATTACTTCAAGTGCTTTTTTAAAGGAATTGCTGTCTCTGGGTTTCTGGAAGATTCTTCAAAATGTCTGCTGTTTTTGAAAACATTAAAATTGCTAGATCTTTTTTGTTGTGTTTTACAGCTTTTGCGTATGTATTGATTTGATATATTAAAAAATCATGATGTATCTTACCTACTGGGTTGTGTGTTATAGGCTCCTAAGTATCAATTCTTGCATTACTAACTCCTGTAGCTGTAGTATACCATTATGAGACTATGAGGTGAGATGGAAATTTTCACCCACACTGTATTAATAATGTTTGAAGAGGAATGCAGTGATTTCTTCAGAGCTGCATTTTTTTAGTTTCCTGACACTCTCTATCAGTTTTTCCTGTGAAACATTAGGTTGAGAAATTGATCTTCCTTCTCCTCAGGGATTTATGATTTTGATTATTGAATTATAAGCATCATTCACATATTTTACAAACTCATTGATCTCTTTTGAAGTAATTTCTATGGGAACTTTCTGGTTTGCATAGCTTTTGGAGTGCTTAATTCACTGTCTTTTGTTTGTGAGACTAACATTTAGTTCGATTGTGACATCATGTATTCAGAAATGTTGACCTATGGATACCGTTCTGCTTAAATTTCTTGGAAACACTCAGAAGAGATATTGTTGTTTCTTGATTCTGTGTATTTATGTTAAAATGATTACCCACTATTACTGAGGGAAATATATTCTTTTTGAAGTAATGCAAGGTATATTATTTTGTTGGTAGCCTAGAAAGAGCTGTAAGAATTTATGCCATTTTTGAACGTATTAAGTTGAAGAGGAACCACAAAACTCAAAGAAAAAAAAAACTATAACAATGATGAATGCTCAGTTCTTTATGTTAGACTTCAGAATGTGATATCAATGATTGCTTCTGTGCATTGCTGCCGTAACCTTTTGAAAAAATAAAGTACAAATGATAAAAGTTACTTCCTTTTGTGAAATACTTGGTAATTTCCATTCAGATAGGTTATGGGAGACTGTAAATTATATGTTTTGAAAAGTGATGCATATCATTCCTGCTTGCACAAATTTCCATAAATGCACTTAATTACAGCTATCAGTTTAAAGCCAAAACTTGCTGTTAAGTTCTAAAAGAATCAGATACTAGTGAACTGAATAATTTGACAGTATTCGATAAATTTTTGCAGTTCTAACACTTGTTCTGAATCATGTAACGGTAACACACAGATAACACAAAGTATACTATTTTAGGCATTAAATACAACAAAAATCATTGATTTTATTTTATTCTTGATCATGAAAAATTCACGAGAATAACACTATGAAAAACGATTTAAAATTTAAATTAATAATTAATTTAAATTTAAATTAGTAGATAATCAGGTTGATGATTGTTAATCTGAATGCATGAGATTTAAACAAATACTTCTATTTAAAATATAATAATGTTGATAAAGTTAGAAATAAAGTGCAGTATTATTATAATAAACTATGAAAATGAATTTTTCTGTAATAAGGAGCATGAGGAAATAAATGGAAGTGTTACCATTTGCAGTCTTCAACTTGATGTCCCTGTTATTTCTCCGTCTTTCAAGTTTGTTTACCTTCAAAATGCTTCTCTTCTCTCTTCAAAATGCTTCTGGTAATAATTGCAGTGGTTCTTAAGTTTCTACTTAAAAGTAATAAGTTAAATTGATGAAGTTTGAAATTCTGGGAGGGGGGGGACTAACTCTTGAAAATGTAGGCCGATTTTCTTAAAAAATTAATATCTCTGTTATTCCTTTTATTGCTGATGACAATGGTAGAAGAATTGTCGTGATCCTTTAATTAGGTCCTGAGATAACAGTCATTAGAGTTTTTGCTAGTTCCTGTTCTTTTCTAGTGTTGCTCTGTGCTGGGGTTCCCAGGAGGGATTGTCTCTGTTTTCAGAAGAAAAGATATGAGAGTAATGGCTGGTTTACTTTTTGAATATTTAGTTCTTGCATTGGATCCAAAATAAATTATTTGATAAGTTATTAATTAGACTTACAATTAGCTGATTTGGAAAATATTTAGAAACTTATGCTTGTCTTGTTTTGCTGATTCTTGTGATACCTTGTTCTAAACTTTTGGACTATAATCATTCAAAATACACATTTTTCAAATTCCACGCTTTCTTTTGTATAAAAAGGAATTTCTGGTACACTTTTTTTTTTTTTTTTTTTTTTTTGTCCAGGGAAACATTGTCAGTTGTGTGCTTGGTTTGGTCAATGATATGCGAAAATGAGAAAATAATTAATTTCTCACTATGTGTTGCTTTGATTATATCATCCTTCAGATGGCTTTTTCTTCTGGAAGTTCCGCTGATGTGATTGTAGATTATGATTCTTCCTACGAGAATTTCATCATTTTAGCACAGCGGCAGATTGCATCTTGCAGTTTTTGACCTCTTCAGGAAAATCTAAGACATAGCTTTTAATATACACAGAGCATAGCGGGCTCACTTAAAGGCATCTTTCAAAGTTTTTTTTTTTTTCCTTTTGTAGGATTTTGGTGCTAAGGCTGTGTCATTCTCTCTCTCTCTCTTTTTTTTTTTGTTTTTTTGTTTTGTTAGCAAAAGCAAATTGCTGTGTATATGTAGAGAAGAACAGTGCAAAAAACTAAAAAGTGTACCAGTCTTATGTGGGAAAAAATGAAGAATGTAAAATAATAGATGGCTTAAATTGTATCATCAACCCAGGAGGATGCGCGCTGTATTATGTAATACACAACAAGCAATTACATGACGTACAAATTAAACATATCATTACATTTCAGTAAAAGAATGCATTCTATATTAATTGCAACATTTATTGTATAAAATAGCTTAAAATAATGTTAATTTTAAAATTAAATAATTTTTTTTTCAGATGTCTATGAATCATTTTATTTCTATGAGAAATTTTTGTTTTTTATTTTTGAATGCAATTATAATCCAAATTATGCAGAAGTATGACTTGAACAACGAGTTATATAATTAATATTGAAATCAATTAAGCCCAAGAAGCATTAGATATTTTGCAATATATACATGAAGATACACTTTTTTTTCAATAATAATAATAATGCAATATATACACTTTTTTTCACACATATAGTTTTTGATTTTCTTTTTCCCTTGGACACATGTAACATTTCCGTTATTATAATTTTTTTCTTTGTCTGTGTTTCATCAAATCATTTTCTGTAAGAAATAACTGGTGTACCAATTGGTATAACTGGTATTCTTTGTCTGTGGTTCATCAAATCATTTTCTGTAAGAAATTGGCCAATACATAATTGGTATACCAATTACCCGTAGTAAAGTTTCTTCCAGATTTGTATAATGGAGCTAGGATGCACTTTGCTATTTCACTAGAACTGTTGTCTATCTTGTACGGCCCATCTGGCTGCTGGCATGCGTAAATTTCCATGTTGAAAGTATAGAAGGTTCTAGAATCAACCATAGCAAATATCTTTATACCATATCTTGCAGGTTTCTTAGGTATGTACTGCCGAAAGGAGCATCATACTCGAAAAGGTTCTAACTTTTCGTTCAAAGTCACGTATTCCCCTACATGATATAATTTCTGTCAGTTCTTGACAAAATTTTCAAATAAATCTCTTATTGGAGCTAATTTTTCACTCTATCTTCTGTCATCCCGTGTTCCGACATTATCAAATTATAAGGCAGAAGAATGAAAAGAAAACGCTTTATAGTTTTGCGAAAAATATCCAATCCTGTGCCATCATTCGCCCATAAATCTCTAATATTTACATAGGAGGATTTGTGCAATCCAGCTATGTATAAGAGTCCTAAAAAGGCAAGAAATTCTTCTTTCTCTATAGGTTTTGCGTCTCTTTCTCTTTTAAAATTTCCCGAAATACTTTTTTACATAGATAATAGTGCATTTCACAATAATTTGAATCATTGTATCATCAAATATTAGGTTCCATGTATTGATAGGTGAAGTCACATCTTTAGAAATATGTGTAATTGCCAGGCAATTTTTTTATGATATTATAGGATGCCATGTGTCTTTGAACTCAAGGGTTCTTTCTGCTATTCTGTTGTTTTATCCTTTCCTATAAAATAGTCAATTTCATCACAAGGAATGTCTTCTGAAGAGTCGCACTCTTCTTCTGATTCAGACTCATGATCACTAAATATATCTTCATTTTCTGAATCTTCTAATTCTTCTTCTCTAGAATCGTCATCCGACGAAACCTCCTCTAATAATTTTTGAAGTCTTTTCATTTCTTGATCAAACGTCAAATGATGAAAAGACCAAGCAGAGCGACTTTCACACACCATGACTCAGACTGAAAAATAGTAAATATGAAAGCGCGTGTTGGGTGTCGGCACACCCCAAACTATTATTTAAACCAAAATAAATGCTTAGAATTTGCATTTTCCTCTCGAGACGTATAGAACATGACCTTGGAGGCAGCTACTGATAGACCTAACCATTTCGGGTTATAGGGAGAGATTGGCAGCGAATATTTTTTAGCGTGGGGTGCCAGAACACCCCATGTGCGTCTTTCCATGTTAAAAGAGATGTAAAGATACCCAAAGTGCCATTTCTCTCCAAAGTTGAAAACAAGTTTGTGACTTTTTGGTTGGGATGCAGATGATCAAAAGTATCAAAAAGTGTGCACTGTAATAACATAGTTTTAAAACTAGATGTTAAGTTATGAAATGTTTAAATAATGGAAAATAAATAAAGATAACTTGAATAAAAAATACTGCATCAGAAATAATACTTTGTAGTTCTTGATAATGAAAATAACAGTTTAAGAAAAGTTCACGAAATATTCAACAAAATGTGTCTAAATTAACAGCTTGGGGAATAAAAATTTCAGATTTGCTTTTTCAAATCTGGACTTACCACATGCTATTATTTATATTCGCTTTTGGTGTAATATCATAATTATTTTAGAAGATAAGCATACATGCTTAGTTTTTCATGATCATAGTATTTATTACTATTAGGTTACTTATTTTAAACATTGAGGGTCATATACTTTGAGGAATGATACTTGTACTGAGCTTTATAGTTCTTATTTTTACATTACATTAAAAAAAAGTGAGAAACTGATTGCAGCCAACTCACATTACATAGAATTGCATAGAACTTCACTTTACATAGAATCAGTTCCCTAATGAAGCTTCTGTTATTGATTGCTTTAGTTTACTATTTAATTGTATTTTATTTACTGATAAATGTAGTGAATTGTCGTTTGCCCCCATTTTCTTAATTAACTAACAACCATTAATTACCAAAGATTAAATATCTATAAATGCTGAATAAAAAAGACTTTGTATTGCATCCCATTTAGATTACTTTCGTAGGAGTAACATTGCACAGAGTCAAGGCTGCATAGGATTGATACTGCACAGAACAAACATACTAATAATACTGCCTAGGAACTTCTGCCAGTGCACAAGACTGACACTGGCTGAGACTACTTGCCAGCTGGTAAAGATTAATAATGACCAAGAGGATTATTGCCTGTTTTTCATCTTCACAGAGTTCATACAATTAATACTGCATATCGTTGACACCAGCATAACATTAGCAGAATGCAGAAATGACACCGGCTTGCAGGGGCATTACATAGTGTAGCCAAGGATTATAATTAAAACACCATTTAATCAAGAGAAAAAGAATTTGATTAAATTATCTTTTAAGTTTCCTGTATATGATTGATACCAACATACAGTTGACACTGGTGTGGAGTCAAACCCTGTTTTTAAACCATTTTATTAATCCTGTACAGACAGAGAGATTGTTGGTTCTTTGCTCTGTCAATCCAACACCAGATCCTCCTACATTTTATCTGTTTCTACTCTGAGACCTAATCAGTATCCATAAATAATATGAGCAGAACTGAAGTTGGTAGAGATGTGTTGAAAGATAATTTTTATATATTATATTTTAAAATATATAGTTAATTCATTTTATTCTACTTACTTTATATTTTACATGAGAGTTCATATATATATATATAGAAAGAGAGAGAGATAAACATGTATATATTTTCTTTTTCAGTTAACTGTTGAAGACTATGTAATGGCTATGCAAGTACTAGTAAATGATGTCCGTTTTAATTTATATAATGTATGCTACAAAAGGGTTCTTATTTTATGGATAATGCTTGGTTTTGTCATACTACTGTCACTCTTATTTTCTGGTGTTCGTGGTTTGGCATTATTTGGTGGAGGCATTGTTTGGCTCATCGTAAATGCTGTTGGGATATTCGTCTGTATGTGGTTAAAGATAAAAGTATGTATGAAATTTTTTTAATAATTGTTTCTAAAATTCTAATTTATTTTCACTTCTAATGCTATAGTAATAATAGCAAATATTATTTGTTATCTAAAAAGCAACTTAAAGCATCTTACTATAAATATTCAATAGCTAAGCATTTTTTATGGTGTTTATACAGCAAGTTAATGCAAAATCAATCATCTGCTCAAAAGATATAATGTTTAGCATATAAAGTTTGCTAACTATTTGTAGCTTTTTCTGATACCATCATGAGTATAAACATGGTTTTGCTATTGGTGTTGAAGTTCAATGTTTCATTCATCTTTTCTCTGAAACTCATGAAAATCTTAAAAATTTTAATACTTTTTCTCACTATTCTGCATTAATTGCAGAATTATCTACTTAGTACTTTTTATGGGTACTATCCGCATTCCCTTTGAAGTGCCGCAAAAAAAGTGTTCATGAGGCAGAGCTGTATGCTGCCAAAATAGTTATGTGGCAACCAAAGTATGCATGTAACATGTCTCTTTTGTTTGGTATGCTATCCCAAAGTTCGTGCAATTCTGCTTTTTTTTTTTTTTTTTTTTTTAAAGCAGAAACAGATCACAAGGAGAAAATAATAGTGCAAGAAAAAAAGTGTTTCTTAGGCATTTTCTTGCTTATTAAATTTTATTGATTGACTGCTTTTGTATGGAATTCTTAGTATACTGAAACTTTGAAAATAACTGTTGCTGTTCACAGATAACAAAATCGGCAAAAAATTAGTTGCTAACGAGTTCGCAACTTTTCAGTGGGAGTGCAAATAATCAGTAAATACCTTTTTATGCCTTTTTGATTTCTGCTATTTTGTTAGGCCTTCTGATTTTATTGGAAGCTGTATTTAGAAATGCTATGAGTATAAGCTTCCTGCAGTAATTGTTAAAATACTATTATTGTTTTGTCAGCTTTATTCAGCTGACAATATCATGTTCATTAATACATCCTTTTTTTGATGGTACAATCACCTAACTTTGAAAATAATCCACTGCTTTTTGTTCTGTAGAAGGCTGATCCCAAATTTTTACAGTTTTTTCAAAATGCAAGAGAAAAATGCAGTTGTGGCAATTAATTTATATCCTTATTCATAAAACTAGAAGTTTGCATATTGAGAATCAGTCAGGGTTATATCAAATGAAAGCTAAGATGATATGCGTGTGTTATGATATGCTTTTCCATAAATGGCGCTAAATAGTGCTTCTTGGCAACAGTTTCACAGTTGATGGGATGATGGATAAGTACCTCTTATTTATTTATTTAGCATTAATTTTAGTAAAAAGTAATTAATATATTTCAAATCTTAATGGGATTCATCTTTAAACAAATATTGCTTGAAATCTGTTTATATCACAGGCAAATTGGTTCATATTAATTTTTAAAAAGTGCACAATATATATGTGCAAATATGAATAACCAAAATAATTTAACACACTCCTTCTAAAACTCCCCAAAATTTGAAGAATAAATTCTTTAAAAAAGAAAATTAAATACTGCTGCCTGCGAGAACTCGTGGAAGAAGATCAGTATGCAGCCATTCGAGACCTTGCTAAGGAGTTAGACTTTAGTGCCATGTCTATTAGTTGTGCTATGCATTACATAAATTTGATGTACAAGTTCAAACATTGGGTGCGGCATGAGCTGACTCAAGCAGATAAGGACAGACATGTTTGGGTCTGCATTGATCCTGTCAAGTGTCAATACAAGGATAAAATTCTAGACTGGATTGTCACTTGTGATGAAAAATGGATTTGCTTCAACAATACAGGCTGAAAAGGAAAAGGCTGTATCCTGTGAGCCTGTTGGCAGCACCTTAAATAGGAATTTGACTAACAAAATATCATGCTTTATATCTGGTGCAACTGTCATGGTATTATCCAAAAAGAATATCTGGAAAAAGGTAAAACCCTCAACAGTAAGGTGTGCAGCGAGATGCTAGTCCTTATTGATGCTGCTATCAAGGAAAAACTCCGAACTGTGTTCTGGTGCAAGAAGGTAATGTTCATTAAGATAATGCAAGACCACATGTGTCTGCATTCACCGGCTGGGCTCAGTAGACTTAAATGGGATCTTTTGCCACATTCTCCATGCTGATGACATCACTCCTTTGGACTCGTACCTTTTTTCACACTTGCAGCTACATCTTGCTGGTACTATCTCCCATTCTACACAGGGCTTCAGAAATGAGGTTGATCTGATTTTGGACTCATGGCCACCAAGTTTCTGGACCGAAGGCTTTGAAAAAACTACCCAAACATTGGCAGAAAATCTTAGATTTTGGGTTGTGATTACTACTCACACTGAAGGTACTGCTTTCAAGTTTTTTTTTTTTTTTTTTTTTTTTTCCTAGCTTTTTTAAGAACGCTTTTTGGTGAAAAACTTTTATGACAACCAGATATTATATTATGCATTATTATTGGAATGTAGATTTATTTTAAAGAAATACTATTGTGATAGTTACTAGTAGTTCATCTATGATTACTTTTCATTTGTTATAGTCTTAATGTAACATTGTTCAGAAATGAAATTATTTGTTTGATTTTCCCCTCGCAATTTTCAAACAATAAAAGTAGTAAAAAAGAGGGAAACTACGGTATATTGTTGCAGAATCTCTAAGATTCAAGGTATTACATATATCAAACTGTTTAGATAGTTATTGTTGATAAATAGTTATTTGTAGTTGTTATTGTTGATAAAAAATTAATTACTCTGGTAAATATTACAATTTTTGAGCCAGGACTTTGACAGTTATTTGAAATCAGTTTTAGTGGAGGATAATGATGAACAGAAAGTGATTTGGAGTTTGGGAAGTTTTCAAGTCAGTGGTTATAGATTAAAGGGTAGCCTCTAAAGCTTTGGGGGTTCCCACCAGCGGCCGAGCGGTAAAGTCGCTGAACACTGGTAGTTCGGTCCGAGGTTTGAATCCCGCGAGCGGGCTGACTGCATGGGCGTTTTTGTGGTTTTCCCCATGTGTAACGTGTATACGAGCCAATTTCCCATAGAAAGTCCTCCACGAAGGCATCCACCCCCTTAGGCAGATAGCCCTCCAGGCCTTGCTGTAATTTAATAACCTAACCTAACCTAACCTAAAGCTTTGGTTCTCTGCATATTTAGGTTGTCAAATTTGAATTAACTGTTTATTATATAGTTGCCTGTTTGTTATTTATCTGTTATAATTGTACCTTTTTATATACATAGTTTTATATCATTATTAATTAAAATGACTTTGTCTTCCAGCTTTATCGTATGTTAGAACAGTGCATGGCTAGTGTAAATGCTCTTATGTACAAACATCGGATTTTACTTGGTTTAGATGACAGAGGTAAAATATCGTGTCACAAAGTGAATGTATCCTTTTATTTTTATTTTGCTTTGTTTAATACTTTGTATGAGTTTTCATGTTATAATTCGATAAAGCTTTTATAAATCTGAGATTTTGTACATGTGTTCGTAGATATAGATGAGTCTTAATCTTTCTTGCTATTTAATCTGAAATTTAACTTTGATCAAATTTTGGTTTTGTTAACCTGTTTAGATAGCATGCAGGAATTCTTTCATGATCTGAAGTGAATTTAATTTTGCATTGTTTTTAGTCAAACTGCAATCAGCAAAAACTTCTAGTTGAGTTTCTCATTTAATTAAAAATCTATTAAACGTATGTAATGAGTTTGAATCTGCAATCAGAAGATCTATTGAAGTAATAAATAATTTTAAAGTTATAGTGCTTTACTCCTTCTGTTAAAAATTAGGCACTTATGTATTAGCCCAGTCACCTTAACAGAAGTTGCCAAATTTTCAGAGTACACTAAATTTTGGTATCCATCGATAAAACAGTTTCCCAGTTTGAAACAACAGCATTTCATGTGCAATTTTTTTTATTGTATTCTAAATTCCAATGGTTTTCGTAAAAATACTGTGGCATTATTCATCTTAAGTTGAGTTTTAAAATATACACTTGGGAAATTTGTCTGCTATGGAAGAAAACAGAGTAAAATTTTGCAGAACTATAATATTTTTATACAAAATTATTCAAGAGAACAATTGCTTTGAATCTGTTCGTAAAGCAATTTCCAAGAAATTTCCACCAGAACTAACAAAGCCCACTTCTAAGTATCTTTATTGATGTATCTTTATTGATGTATTCAATTATATATTATTCAAATACATAATTGAAATGTAAAATATGTGTGTTATAAATTATTTATTCCATTGATAAGTCAACTTTCTTCTTTTTCGCCCCCCCCTCTATGTTAACAATTGCCAAACTGTGTCAGTGTAGTTATGTTAGTAATTAAGTACCTAAAATTATTTAATCTAAGTTGAATATATGCTAAAAGAGAACAGTGTTTAGCAAAAAGTGATAAAATTTAATGCTTAGTATATGAAATTCAATATTTTTTAACTGTGTGTGCTGTTTTATGTTTAGAAAGTAATTATATTGTTTTGAAATTGTTCGGGGCATCAAATACACTCAAAAGTATGACTTCATTTAGTTGAAACTATGTTATCAGGCATCTTTTACGAGGATCACGCTGAAATTTTTGAGATATGTGTAGGTTCTTAAAGTTATGAAATTTTAGGAGTACGCAAAGTAGTCTCCTCCAGCATCAATGCATTTCTGTAGGTGAATTTTCCAAATATTAAATGCCTCAAGCCATTCATTTCTTGGAATCGATGAAAAAATTGCATTCTTTGTCTCATCAATCTCATTTTCGGAATGAAAACAAGATCCACTTAAGTTCTTTTTTAGATTAAAAAATAGTCAAAAGTCACATATAGCTAGATCGGGTAAATAGGGTTAATGTTCTATCACTTTGATGTGCTTTTGTTCAAGAAACCAAACTGTCAATTTTACTGAATGAGAAGATGCATTGTCACAGTGGAGCATGAGTCCTCTAATATTCACTTCTTGAAGAATTTCTAGAAGACATTTAATGGTGTACTAGTTAGCTGTGACTATCTTCTGTCCTTGCAGCTTGATGGCTTTGAGTAGTTCTGTACTTCTGAAGAAAATGGAATACATTACTTTTTTCATGGCACGTTATCTTTGGCTGTGGAATCATCTTCAAAGATCCATGCTTTACTTTCTTGACGTACTAGAACATAAGTTTCGTCATCAGTTCTGATTTTAGAAATAATGTGGTGGCCACCATCCATAAGTAATTTAAGGATTTCTTTACTGATTCTGAAATCTCCTCTTTTTTCTTAGTTAGATTATGGAGAACACAACATCAGGGTAATTTTCTCATATGCAGTTCTTCATGAATAATTTTATGTATGGGGGTGCATCCAATGTTAAGTTCCTTCTGTATCATTTAATAGGTTCAGCAATTATCATCAATTAACAGTTCCTGTATGGCAGACATACTGTCCGGGATTACTGCTGACAATGGCCTTCCTGTATGTTCTTTGTTCTGAAGAGAGTTGTGACCTCTGAAAAATTCTGTAAACTATATTAATACAGTAGTTTGAAATGTACTTTCATTTCAAAATGCTAATTGTAGACTTGAATGCATTCTTCTTGATTTAATCCTACTTTAAAATCATAGAAAATTATACAGCAATAATCACTGTAATTGTACAATAATTCAGCGCTGTTTTTCCTTCTGTGTAAAGTTTATTCTACAGTAAGGTACCTGCAATTGGCTAATAAAAAATTGTCTACTAGCCTAGAATATTTCATATTTTGAAATATAATCATTAATTTTCTTCTGCCACTCATCATTTGCACATATCTAAAAAATTTCAACCTGCTTTAAGAAATAGGATTTGGAAAAAACTCTTAATTTTTTGCTTATATAATTTAATAACTCTATAAGCACTCTTTCTAGCCATTTTACGAAGTGAGTGTAAGCTCTCTCTCTCTCTCTCTCTCTTTTTTTTTTTTTTTTTTAATTGAGATTATAATCTGCAGCACTTTTAAATTTTAGAAAAAATTAAAGATTATTTTGTGGCCACTCAATATATTATCAGAACATCGGAGAAAAAGCTTTTCAGAATGGAATAGGCAAGACTTATTATTGTTGCTATTTTTTAATTCGTTCTGAATAAGATAAATAAGTCAAAATTATTCTTAAAGCTTTATTCAAAAGCTGCAGAAGAAATTTGCATAAAATATTAAATTTAACTTTAGCAATTTTGGTCAAAAATATAAATGTTTCAAACTTATTAAATCTAGTATATGGTATGAAAAATTAACAGATTTCATATGATCATCAGCTTCAGTTTTGTGAATCATATATTAGTTTATTTTTTAATGTTTATAAAATTGGAATAATTTAGTATTGTTTAAATAAATATACAGATGCAGTAGCAGAATGCATTTCATTGATATATATATATATATTCATTGCTATAGTTAAAGTTGTGATTTTCCAGCTGAGAGTAAAATATTAATATGCTGAAAATATATGCTTTGTAAATGTAGATTTGGTTAGTGCTCTTGGTTGATTTTAGAATATTTTTTAACTTATATGTTATTCCTGTTTTGCTTTTATGACTTAATAATTAAAAAAGAGTTTTAATTAATTTTCAGTAGCAAATTATTGTTTATGAAATACTTGACCAATGTTTAGCTAATTTTTGTGTACTTTGATGTTACCTACTGCATAGTAAGTAAATTTTGCATTTGTGATTTGTTTGTATTACTTTTTTACTATTTATCTGGCATGTGTACTTTTCCCCCCTCATAAAGATAATCTGTGAGAAAAACAAAAAGGAAATAGTTTATTATTGCTATAGTGTCTTTATACAAGATGATTAGTATTTTTTAAATGCATAAAACATAGTCTGTATTTTGATGTAAATATTTAAGGTAATATAATTAATTTGATGTAAACACCAGCTGTAAGTTTATTTTATTCATTTAAACAGAATTCAGGATGTTTCAGGGGTGGCTAGCAAGTGAAAAGACTTTTCTGAGAAATTATTACTGTTTGGATGATATTCGAAGTTTTATTAAATTTGGACGGTATTGTAAATTGGAATGAAATCAACATCATTCTTTGTAAGCCCAATGTAGAATTAGACTATCTGAAATACAACATCTGAATATATGGTTATAAAATACTATTCATCAAAATCCCAAAATCCATCATCAAATCCATATCATCAAAATACCATATCTGCTCATCAAAAATACTATTCATACAAAATACCATATCTGAATATATGGTTACAAAATACTATTCATCTCAACTGCTTGCCATTGTGGTGAATACATATTGACTATACTAATTCTTCATTTGTGTAGAGGCTATTTTTTTCTGTTTCTAGAACATAATATGTACAATTAGGTATAAAAAACTGTTGGCTTGTCATTTGAGTGCATTGGAAATGTAAACTTTTTGCAAAATATGCAGAAATAAATTTTGTATATTGTATTTATGAAATGCAGCTATTTATTATGGACAACATCCTAAGTATAATGAATTTGTTTAGTTAATATTTAAAAAACTGTTGTAAACCATGTAAATTTTTCTGAAGTGGAACAAAATATAGTAATTATACATATGTTAATGGAAATTTGTAGTAAATATTTCATCAAGATAAGGAAAGAGCATGAGTCGTTTTTTTTATTTTTTTGAAAATTACAGAGCAAAAAAGAAAGAGGAGAATTTATCACTAGAATTTTCTTTTCATTATTTTATCCATATAGTTTTTCAACAAAATACTCATATTTTTTTCACATTATTACCTTGTTTTTTATCATTGTCCAGCTGTAGGAAAAACCTTGATTTTAAGATGATGATGATGACTCATGCTGTTTTTAATCTCGTCAGTCCAAATATTTACTTGAAATATACAGCTAATCTGGTTTGATTCCTATTATTTTTCTGCCTTTAGTATTAGGAGCTGCGTGTCTAGACAGTGGTATTAAAATGCTATTTTTGGTGATACCTGGTAGTGATCTAAATCAGTGTTATAAAACTCAAATTTTATGCTGACTGCATGCACAATCTGTAAGTAGTCAATGAGCTAGAATTTAATTCTTTTTAAACAAAATGAAAAATATTTATTCACAAAATAAAAATTACTCCCAACAAATTAAAAATTTTATCTACTAAATTTTGTTAAAATACACATAAATAATAATAATAATATCGAAAAAAGAAAAAATTCAAATTTACATTTATTTTCTATGGAAAATCTCAAGTTAAGTATCTACAAGACATTTTTGTTGTAATTAATTTTGTAATGGATATATACTGATAGATATATATTAAATTTTCAGCCTGACATTTTAAATAATTGTAGTCTGATTAATTTGATCATCAACTAACTAACTTAAATAACAATTTAAATTAAAAATAAATAAATTATGAAAACTTTCTAAGTGGGACAAAATGTAAGAATAAATAATGACAACCTGTTACATTTTCTTTATTTCTAAAATTTTCTCCAAAGCATAAATAAAAATACATATGTTTGTATGTAAATAATTAAACTCACTCTTTCTTATTACATCTTAACACATTGATGAGTTTTGATTCATAATATCTGTAACTTTGGAGAGAAATTACTAAAAATTATCTTCATCAGGGAGCTTATTGGTCAGTGGGGTTTTTTCCTTATTAATTTCAATTGTAAAAGAAGGCTGTTCACGTATAAATGTATACCCAAACAAAGTGATTATTCTTAGTGCAAAAATTCATAACCAAGCTTATTTATTTTTTGACAACTATAGATAAAAGTTAATAAAACCTGCATCTTCAAATCTTTGAATAGTCACAAATTGAAATCTTTGAATATATTACATTGTAAATCAGTTAGCTTCATTTGTAGATTTTCTGGTGTTTTACTCCTTTAATGGTAATGAGAAAGTACTGTAAACTTGAAGTAACTGAAATCTTGAAATCTTTGCAGCAAGTACTTAATTGAAATGCACTTGAGGGCCTAAATAAAATTGCTTTAGGAACTGCATGCGGCATGCAGGCCACGCAGTTTGAGACCACTAATCTAAATAATATTTCATGTTAGTCTATTATAAAAGTGTAATGTGCATGGGAAATAACATGGTAGTCTAAATGTGTAAGAACACTTTCATACCTTTAGACTTTTTCACAAGTTATCTAGACAAGTTGGTAATATATGTTTGATTACTTATGAACAGTTATTATTTAATTATGTAAACTGTTTTAAAAAAATCTATGATTTTGCACCGTAATGTGTCAAAATATTTTATAATAAATTAAAAAGAGCTGTCAAAATGTATCCATAACATTTCTAATTTGTAGTGAAAAGTAGATAATTTTCATTGCATATTTCTTGTAAACTAAATTATGTTGGAAATTGAGAAAAATTTGCACTTTTCTTGTACAAAATGATTAGTAAAAAAAAAAGTAGAATATGTTAGAAAATAAATATAAGAAAAGTACATGAGAAGACTAAAAATCTGGTTGTCTTGGGACCAAAAGTTGTATGTGGGTTTTTAGCCTTGAAAGAAAAGTATTTAGATTACGACTTAAAGAAAAGCAGAATAAATGGACACAAATTAAAGAAGAATTATAAAGGCAATGAATTTGGTTTGACACTTTTTATAATGTATTTGGAAAGAAAACAAGTACAAAAGCATAGAAATAATTTTTTTCCCCGTTTTTCTAAGATAATTCGTAATAATTTATTTTGAAACTTTAAAATGCTCTAATTAGAGCTTCCTCACCTCTTTGCAAATTATATTCAGTCATTTCTTCCTGATAAGTGAGATTTCCTTTATTGCTCTAAACATATCAAATATGCTCCTCAATTCCGAACTTCATCAAGCATTAAAATTCGTAGACATTTTTTCTGCATAGTCATCTTGACCAATCTTGTTGTGTTGGATTTTAAACACTCACTGATTTCATCATTAGTCACTTGATGTTGGCCAAAATTTTTAATTGGAAAGTTTTGTGATTGTGAATTTTATTCTGATAGGCTATACAGATTTTGGGTATCATCAAATTTTTGGTTACCTGCATCACCATCTGAGTAGTTAGGTACTTGTGTTTTGTTTAGATATAAATTTTAGAGAAATATGGTGTCATAATATTTTAATAATTTGACCAGTTGATATATATCTGTTAGATAATATGATAAACATCATTGAAGTTTTTGTAGGAAATTATTTAATATTTCATTTTTTTTCTAGAAATATTTGAAAGACATGCTTGAAAATGAAGAACGACTTACCTTACAAGAGGTAAGCAATATCTGCAAATATATATTATTCTGGAATTGAATTAAATTGTTTAATAATGAATTTGTTTTAAATTAAAAAGTAACTTAGCACTAGTTAATGTTTAAGTTCACCAATATCAAATACAAAACATGGCAGACTCAACCTTAGATTTGTATTTTTTATTAGATTTTTTTTTTTTTTTAAATTAAACCACTAATGACATAAAAGTGAATTTTCCTAGTTTTACATTGCGATCATGGTAGTGTAAAGTGAATTCTGTGTTTTAAATGATTTGTAAAAAATCTCATCAATTATTGTATTTTCAGAATGCTCCTACTGAGCCGAAAAGCACTCAGTCAACTATTGATCAGTCCAGAATGGATATTGATACATCTGATATTATCATCACTGGCAGCAGCAATACTCGAGTATGCCAGAAAGAGGTAATTTGTTTAGAAAATAATGAATTACAGACTTTCTTTATTGAACAACACTATATTATGCTGCATTCCACTTGATTTTATGCAATAAGTGATTAGAAATTCTAAAACTAAAGCTTAAAATACTAATTTGTTAAGTTCTCAATAATAACATTTTAAAAATTGCAATAAAGTTAAAAAAGTTTTTTAACATATACGAAAGCTGGTTGCATATTACCTTATGCTAGTTATCCTGTGATTCTTTACTCTGGCCATTTATATTTGTATACATTTTAAAAGATGTCTGATCAAACTGCTGCTCTTTTCCAAGTGTAAGATCTATTCTGTTGTTAGATATCTTCAATGTGAATGCAAAATGTATCGGCCAAATCATTATATAATATCTGTGAGTGTGCCACCCAGTCGGTATGGTGGTCAGGGAAGCTGACTACTATGCCGAAGGGCCTGGGTTCGAATCCAGGAGAAGGCATGGTTGTAACTGTCCGTCTCTTCCTAGTAAAGGTGATGGTGGCCGACCTATTAGGTGCCTCCATAATAAAGAGACCACCACATCCGGCCTTATATATATTAATGGACTGGATTACATTTGTAATTTTTTACAATCTGCCATTTTGGGGGGGAATCTGTGAGTGTAATCCTATGCATAAATGGCATCAGAAATTTTAAGAGTGGTCAAGTATTGGCGATGAAAAAGGTTAGAAAAGAAATTCTGTGCAACTGATGGTTTCCCTTAAATGTGGAATGCTTTGATAAAAACATACAACAGTTGTTGATGATTTATGACAAATGCTTTAATTGTGAAGGCAACTCCATGGAAAAATAACAGTAATATGTATCTAACTTTGTATATCTAAAATTTTTCTTTTTATTTACAAATTCTTTGCAACTTAATTAAAAAATAGCCTCTTAGTTGCAATTTAGCATGGTTAACATGCATATACTATAAAACTTTCTTCAAAGACTGCTCAGTTTCAGAGTATTTTGTTTCTTTTGTAAAGATAGTTCTTAGAAAACTGGCCTTAGAAAACATACCAGGAAATAGGCTATCATGATATTTCGCATTGTCATTTAAATGTATTTGCAGGAAAATTGGTCACTTTCTGAGATTGTTTTCTTAAAGAAATGTCTGCCATGATAAAATTCAATCTGATTTATTTTCTCTGCCATTTATGTAGTTGCTGTAGGAAAAAAAAAATAGAAATGTCATAATGAAATAATAATATATTTTAATATTATATTAATAACCATAGATTCGCTTTAGGCTTGCTTTCGGAGCTACGAACGGGTCCGCGTGACTCAATCGCTCTGGGGGAAAGTCCCCGGCCACACTTGTCAAACTATTATATTAATAACTAATTATTAGCTATAAGTGTTATTATTTTGTTAAACTTCTGTTAAAAACTTTCATAACTTTTACAAAACTTTTAAGACTTATCGACTTCTAAGAAACTTGAAGCATGAAAGAAAAGTGTGCTTATTGTCTTATTATTTATATATACAGCGAGTGATATTTTGATATTTTCACTGCATGTTTTTATGCTATGAACTTGAATTTCTTTTCATATCCTATCAGAAACATTTGCCAAGTTCCTTTTCTTTTATGAAATATATATTATAACTATTTAATTGCTGTAACTAAATCATCTATAAAAACTTGACATGTCTAGCAGTTTTTATGGAGCATGGTAAATGTAAAATAAAAATTATATAATTTTTTAGTTAATTATATTAAGTTATTATTGATTTACAAAAATATTAAAAATGTTTGTTATAATCGTTTTGAGAGTCATTTGAATTCTTTGTTTATTTTTTTATTAAACATATTAGAAAATGTTTTGAATTAAAAAAAAAAATAAAATGAAAATAATTTCCCTGTACAAAAATTTATATTTGAGTGAAATTCTAACAATAATTTTGTTTTATATGTAGAAATATGCAGAAAAGCTGTTCTTACGATACAGCCAACGATGGGTAAAAGAATTTGTTCGAAAGCGTTTGGATTTGAGGTTACCTTTGCATCCCGATGGTACACTTGAAACTGGGCCTCCTGCTCCTCCACGCCATTGTGCAAGTGCAAGATGTCCATGCCAGTTTATTGAAGAACACTTGCGCTTCAAACCCAATTCCAAATGTAATATTAGGGAGCTATTTTCATAAGAGCCACTCTAAGGATTTGGAATTCTTTAATATGCCCCTATATTACGAATGTTTTAATTGTATATATGGCATAATTTCCCATCATAGGCCACTGGAATTCCAATTTTAACTACAGTATTTAAATTACAATGCACAGAAGCATTGCAGGAAGTATTTCCTGGGCTATATGATGCCACATATTTAATATATATAATACGATTTTAATTTGTAATTTGTAATATTTAGTTTATATGCCTTGATTTCTAGTGATAAGAGAAATTGTGTTGTGGGCTGCTGAATCATCGTGCAAGCTCAGACAACATTCTGTACCTGGGAGAAAACTTATGCACATTTGTTCTTTTTTGGTAAACACTGAATTTGTAGAATATTTTAATTATAACCTGTTGCTGTTGAAATTTCAAATTATTCTCCCCCCCTTGAGGTCTTCCAAATAATAAAAAAAAATGAGAGAACTTTTGAATTTTGAGAAGAAAGATCTGATTGCATCAATCTGATCGGGACATCACAGAACACAATTTTTTATATTGTTTCTGACAGAAATATGCAGCTAGTTACATTATTCTTGAGCAGCTCTTTGAATTTAACAAAAAACAAAAAATATAGGATAGTTTTCAAATATGAAAGTTATGGTTATTTAATTATGGCAGAGCACTTGAGGCCTATCTGCTTAAGGGGAGGGATGCCTTTATGGAGGACTGTCTAAGGGAAACTGGCTGGCATACACATTACACATGGGGAAAACCACAAAAATGCATGTGCAGCTAGCCCGTTTACAGGATTTGAACCTTTGACCGAACTACCAGTGTTCAGCGACTTTACCGCTCTGCTGGTAGGCCTCAAATATGAAAGGAAATACTTTAAATATAGTAGCAGTTAATCAGTACTGATGAGCATTACCTATGTATAGTATCAGAAAGGGAGGTTTAAGCAGCATTAATTGCACTCAAAGGAAACAATAAAAACATAATTTTTTGTATACAAATATAAGTTCATTCTTCTTTTTTTTTAAAAAATTATACATGTTACACATGGGGAACACTGTAACGTGTATTGCATTGTGCGTGAATTGTACGTGTAACATGTATTGTAAAGCATTGCTGCCAATCTGCAGTGACTAAGTGCAGATAAATGTGGCCTTGTCAATAGTCAGCACTTAAGTATTCTTAGAACAGACTGAGGAAATAGCTCATGGTCATTGGAGGTGTTGAGTATTATAGCATATTATTTGTTTCATGTGTCACCATATATTAAACCTTCCTTGAATATCCTTCAACAAGAATATGACTAATTTTTAAATATACTAACGGGCATATTGATGCGTTATTTATTTCAGTATAACATTGTTTAGGGTAACATAAAAGTAATAGACTAATGTCTACTTTAGAATCATTTCATGATAAAAATGATTATGAGCTGACTTTGTCTGTAATTAAGTAGAATTATTCACTTTTCAAGTTTTAGATAAATTAAAACTTTTATTAATGATAGAAAAGGCAGCTCTTGGATTTACAGTAGAATATTTGCATAGCATTTGAAATATAGCATATTCAGTAATTTTTATAAATATTGCAGTTTGAAACTTTTGAGCTTGCATGCTTAATACTTGTTTGGATAGTTCTGAATATGTAGCATAAATATGAGGCAACTGCCCTGAGAAATCCTCCATGAAGGCATCCTTTATCTTAAGCAGACAGACGTCGTGTCTTTGCTGTATTCAAACAACCTGCTTAGTTGACTGAATATCTTTTGTATAGAATTAATAGCAGTTAGTCTTATTTACAATTCTAATATGAGACTTTTGCAATTTGTTATAATTTTTTCAAAAATAACTAGGTAGCTGGGAAATTTGAATTTTGAGATTGTTTTGGTTTGTTATATAATGAATTTTATTGCAGTTTGTTGTTTTGGTTTGTTATATATGAATCAGATCAGAACCAGTTTCATAAAATGAATTCTGAAACACTTAGCACCAAAAATAACTAGGTAGCTGGGAAATTTGAATTTTGAGATTGTTTTGGTTTGTTATATAATGAATTTTATTGCAGTTTGTTGTTTTGGTTTGTTATATATGAATCAGATCAGAACCAGTTTCATAAAATGAATTCTGAAACACTTAGCACTTACTATATGGGAAGCCTTAATAATAATAAAAATAATCACAATGTGAATCTTGAATTGCACAGTTAAGAAACATAGATTCAAAGATTATAGTTCTGTGTAGAAAAACAGGTAAACTAGTAAAAAATGCTGTTCTTTCCTGCTGTGTTTGTATTTAAAATTTTGAATTTCTAAAAATACTTTGCTTTGCATAAAGAAAAATTTCAGGAAAATGTATTTTATATGCTACAGATAGCCCAGAAAAGTACTTCTAAAAAAGGTGCTTTTATTACTGATTCACTGCAGTAATGTAAATGGCCTATCATTACTGCTACTGCAACAGGTTTTATTATAAAAAAAAGTCCATTTTAAATTAAGGTGCCATTCAGCCAAAAATGATATCAACTAGTTTTCTGCAGAATGTAATATGCAGCAGGAACACAGAAAGCAAATAAGAACATGGACAACTACTTCCAGTGTGGCAAAAAATACTTATTTGAATTCTTTTCGAAAACTGCTAGTTGCAGTTATTTTATTCTCGTGTCTGTAAATAAATCTTCCATTATTTGTAATCTGAAATTATCTTTTTTGCTTTTAGGAAAGTTTTTATACTTACAGCAGTACCTTTTAATACATTTTGCTACTGAAGGGAAAAAATTATCGTGATATCCAGTGCTTTTGTTACAGAAAGTAATGATACAAAATATTTTTGATGCAGGAAAAGTTGCATGGTGCAGTCAGTATATCTTTTGATAACCGAAGATTTTCTTAGTTAAGCATAGTTACAGAGAACCAAATTTGAAAGCACAAAGATCTGAATGATGATTTTAATTTTCCTTTTATTCCAAGTAAGGCTAACATTTTTAGCTGGAACTAAAATTGTGCCTTAAATAGATAATAATAAATAAAAAAATAGTTTATTTAAAAATGTTCACTTTACATATATTGTTTTTATTAAACAATTAAGCCTAATAAAAAGAGATTTATGCAAATATGATAATATTTACATTGAAGATGCCTATTTTTTTAAAGACTACATATACTAATGTCATAACATTTATCATTAAATTGCCTTAATGTGTTTTATTAAATATGTAATCCCATTTTTATACCATGTACCTCATAAAAGGAATGTTATGATATGCCCCCTCAAGGGTAAGTGATAGTTTTCTTACCTTTGACTGAATATATTAATCAGCAAAAGGCATTTTCCATGCATGGTAAATGTTTTCCTTTAAGTATAAAAAGAAGTTATGCTGATTTCCTCCCAATTAGGGTAAAAAAGAAAAGGATAAATATGTCAATTGAAGTAAATAAAGGATAAAAATGCTATTCATTCATATAGCTGTGTTTGTAGAAAATCTTGAATATCTAGAAATAAGTTTTTCTGAAATGTGTGTTCTGTATAAAAGAGAAAGTGATATTGTACAAGTATATTGCTTCTGAGGCATATATTCTGTATAAAAATGAATGTAGAAGGTGTAATATGTATAAAAATTAATGAAGAATTATAATTGAAAGTGTAATATTGTATATATATCGAGATTTTGAAAATGGATCCGTTTGGAATGATCAGAATAGCAAAATATTTGCTACTCATATGAAGGAATATATATCCATTGATTGGATTCTGAACGAGGTGACTTTTCTGTTGTTCATTGAATATTGTTATAAAAGTTCTGATTAAATGGTGTTGTACTCAATTTGAAAGTTGAATTAATAATGTTCCATTTTTTAATGTTTCTTTATTCACAGGGTGTATTTGTGAACAGTTTTTTGACATTGTATCTGTAATTTGAAATAATAAGTTACATCAAAGTTTCAGTTCAACAGAATTTTATGTATTCTACTTTTATATAAAAGTTTGAGAGAAAGATGTAATAGAAGTATTTTCTGACATGCTCGTCTATGCTATATTTGTTGTGTAATTTAAACACAGGCCATAAGTTTTATTTTTAAATTTGTGGTATTGCATCTTGATTTTTAAAATTTATTTTTCTGTTATAAGTTGTTTTTTTAAATTTGCAGTATTGCATCTTGATTTTTAAAATTTATTTTTCTGCTTTTTCATTTACTTAGCACATTTTGGAAATGTGTCTTAAATTGCTTCTTATGTGATATTAGATTATAAATATATATGTCCAGTGTATGTTTCCCGGTGGTTTGTTTTACTTTTTATATTTGTTGCCATTGATTGGAGCTAATTCAGGTCTTAGCTAGTTATACATTTATTTAAATGTACATATTTTGTTTTTATGTGAGGATGTTTTTTGTTTTCTGTTCTAATTGTAGTTAATAATTGCAGTTGAGTCTCTTGAAATTTTATAAAACTGTGATAAATTCAAAAATTCAAAAACATTTTTGTGTAGTTGTAATCTATAAATAACTGATATTTAATAGTATTTAATAGTATTTATGATTGTTATTAAAAAGCAGAATTTTTAAAATGATAATCTAATTCTAGAATTGAATTAAAAAATTTTTTTAAGCAGGAATTAGTCTGTTATATTGTATAATTCCTATTTGACTATGTTCTTATATATGCATTTTGTATTTTAATATCTTCATATATTTTGTTAATTTTACAATCTGAACAAATATGAAATAAGTATATGCATTTTGAGATAAATTTATAAAATCTGAATATTTATTTCATTTTTTTTATCGATAATTTGATTACAATGAATCTTGTGTTCTTGAAGATGACCATTCACAATTCCAAATTATTTTAATTTTGTTAGAAGTGGCGAATGCTTTTGTGGAATAGTGATGTTCATTACTGATATTTGTTTTATGTTCTAAAAAATGCAGGTCATGTTCAAAGGTTATCATCATGAGAGGTTTCAAAGCTACTCTAAATTACTTTATAAAGATGTCTTTCATTTGAGGAATTTTTTTATTTTTTCTTCTTATTTATGTGCTTGGAAAGAGCATAATCTGAAATACCATGGATTTCTTCTTATAGTAAATATGTTGGAGAATTTTATTTAATATAAATGTGATTAAAAAAAAAGCATAAACAAAACTAGTAACATATAGTGTAACATTCTTTTCTCTGCATTTTATGAAACTAAAAATATATTTTACCTTATGTGGCATTCATGCTAGCATTTCTTCAAGTATTATTATTGCTCATTTGTTTTTAACAGTGGATTTTTGGTTGTGTCAATTTTCAGGGATTTCTTTATTATATTTATGTATTTTTTATGATTTTATTTCGTGAGCAACAGTAGTTTGTAAAAATCTTTGATTAGTTTATGCTTTTTTTGCTGTATTTTTGTGGTTTGATTAACTTTGTGATTGGATTTTGTAATAGTAGAGCCATGCTGACAAATTTTAATACATGAGGTAAATCTCAAAATTCATCACATGCACATTATATTTAATGTGATGTATTTAAATGTGATGCATTCTGTTGTTTTTTTGACTGACACAATATCCTTATTCCTTCCACCTAAAAATATCTCTAATCTTGATTGATAAACAATAATAATATTGATTTCATCAGAAAAACTTGAGTTTGTTAGAAAAATAGCTGTTAAATTATAGATATAGATTTGTGTATGTATCTGCCAGGCTGTTAGAAAATCTTAGCATTAGCACATTAATTATAAAATTAAGCCAAAACCTATGTCTAAAAAATTAGATGATGAATGGAAATTTATGTATTTTTACCTGATAGTATGAAACCAGTGAAAAATACATTGTTGTGTCAAATGAAAATTATTTATGATATTTTTAGAAATTTTGATAAAAAATTTATTTGTTGTTCTCAAAATTAGTCACAAGTTGAATTTTGCCGCTCATTAGAATTCACATCTATATTTCTTACATCTTTTAATTCTGGTAAATAGGTGGATTCCATTGTGGCCTTTATAGTTTTACCATATGTAACAGGAATAGCCCTTTTGATAGGCCCTTCACATAGACATCTTTCCTGTGAGCAACCTGATATTCTTTGCCAAAATTGATTGACAGTGGCATACATTTGTTAAACAAGTTTATTTTTAGAAAAGAATGTGTTTAATCAAATTGTAATATGATTGGTTATATTGTACTTTAAAATATAATGCATGAATTTTCTCTTTTTTATCACAGAAAACCTATTTTATATTTATCAAGTATCAAGTTCCTTCCAAAAAAAAAGCGAAAACCTATAACATGCAAAGAGCATTTTACTGTTTTAATATTTTTGTTGACGATTTTCAAGTTTTAATCTTTTTCACTCCTGCTTTGATTTACAATGAACCAACTATTCTTGAGGTTTTAACTGAGGAGATACAGTCTGAGAGTCTTCTATGATTCTTCTCCTACTATTAAGATCTTATTAAGGCTTTCAGTCAGCAGATTATAAGTGCCCCCATGCTGCAAAGGTACTGTACTTACTAACATCAAACAAAGCTCTGCTAGAATTTGAACGTGAATTCAGGAGCATGGAATCCATTAGCCTGGGTTAACCATTATGCTGTCAGGGCTAGTGGCATTGTTATTAGAAACTGTTCATATTATCAGAATTGTTATTACATTTGGCTTATGTAAAATGTTATTTTGATAGGAAGGAAATATTGCTCTTGAGATGTTTGTAATATCAATTGATACATCGCTAGTAGAAATATTAGAATGTTTCAAGCAGTATTGGGGGAATGATGGGCTACATCCATCAAACAAATTGTGTGTGGTTCATAAATTTTATCCTTTTGTACTAACTCTTGACTTTTGAATTACTATATACTAATACACAGAGTAACTCGTATGTTGCATCCAAAATTTAAAAAAAATTGATAAAACAAAAAAATTTTGGAAATTTCAAAATGAATGTATGGCAGATTATCTCAATGGAAAATGCGGAGTGAGTTTTATACTGTTATATACGACCCATCCCCCCCTTTTTTTTTTTGTGTGTGTGTGTGTATATATGTGTAAATGTAAGATGGTATATGAGTTTTCTCGAAGCACAGCAAATTTTTATAACTGAGGAATGCATAAATTTGAGTGTGATACCATCTTTCTCAGCCTTTTTGTTGGTAATTGCAACATTTTATATTGACAGCATTTATTTTGTGTGTACTTAGAAAAGGTGAGTGGCCATTTTCTTTCTTATGGTGAACTCTTTCAATTTCTTGAAATCAGGTTACCAAGAGAAAAATCATTGTCTAATTAGGTTCACAGACATATGGAAAAATTTCTGTATGTGCTTCTGTAAGAATGTGTTGCAAAGTTAATGAATGCGCTCAATCATATAAATTTCTTCTACTTGGGGAAAACTGATCTCTATGTCACCAAACAGTTTTTAACACTAACAGTTTAAACTGCAAATGTTCATATATTACTTTTAACTGAAATGGGATGTCATTCATTGAAACATTTTTACCATTAAAATCCATTTTGGAATTTAGACAGCATTTGAAAGTTAATTTATATTTAATATTTGATGTGTGCCATTATTGGATCACACTGTATATTCATAAGAATGGAACATTATAACTTGTTGATAAATTATCAGAACATTTAACTTATTGATAAATTATATTTGTTGATAAATAAGACTTGTGTGCTAAAGCTAAGAATGTGCTACAATAGTCCACCCCCTTTTTTTTTGAGTAATTTTTATTTTTAATAAGTTTGTTCTTTTTTTAAATGCATTTATTCTTCCCCCCCCCCAAAAAAAATTCATTTTCTTGTACTGTTTCCAAAATTTTGTTTACTGTTTCCTAAAAAAAATTCGTTCTTTGCCAAATAGATTACATCTTTTGTATGAGCTATTATTTTTGGTAAATTTACAATGCAGCTCCAAGCATTCTTTTCAGTTGTTACATCCATTAAAACCCAAATAAGAAAACTTATGCAATTCATTTGCATGACCATTTATGCCCTTCATTTCTACTTTTTACTAATTGGTACTTGAATGATTTAAAGGCATTTTAATTATAATTTTCTTTAAATTTGTAAATCATCAGCAAATCTTTAATTGGTTTCTCTTCTTGTAAGTATTTCAAATAAAAAAGAATGTGCCAACTGTATAATCTGACAGCATACTACTAGTATAAACAATCATATGCATTGAATTCATGTTGGATGTGCTTGTAATGTATGAGAATTTGGATTTTCTTACTGCACATTTCATTAATGTTAAAGCATTTTATATTAACTATTATACTCAAATTAAAAACTAAATGCTTTAATTATTACACTTCTCCTTTACTGATTGAAATATTATGTGCTGTGGTTCAGTATAAAATCATCAATCTATTTTTATATATGAAAGAGCAGAATGTTGGGCATATTTAATTTAAAAAAAAGTATGTATTGAAAAGTTGAACATATTTTTCAGATCAGTTAAAAGAAGCTCTCATTTTTCTCTGCCTTATATGCATTTTTATACTGTATTAAATCAAGTGATATATTTCTCATTTGTGATCTAATAAATTTAGTAGAAATCTGTGCATGGTGCTGTTTTTTGTCAGCTGTGCAATGCATTGTGAATATTTTAGTTAACAGCCGTCCATATATTTGTGATGTTTTTATTTTTAGTATTCTATTAATTTTAGTTTGTCAATTGAGCTGTATTAATAACAAAGTATAAAATGTTAGCAAGTAGATATTGATTCAAATATTTTAGATATTAAATTTATACTGTAGACATACTTCACTTAACATTTTATGTTTGCCCTTTCTTCAGTTATTAGGTATTTTAATTTATTGAGTTACATCGGCAGTGAGATCTATTGTTAGGCGACTTTCTGTTTTATAATACTACTTATATAGGCATTCTTTTCATAGCATATTATTGGCATAGTTAGAGTAATATGCCTGTCATAAATAATTGAACTGAAATTGCATGTTGGGATTTCTTATTTAAGAGAGAAAATTTAACTAACAAAAAATTTAAAATTGTGTGTTCTGTGAATATTTTATTCCATCTTAGTATCAATTTGATAGCAAATAGAAATTTCCCAATCTTTCAGCCAGTTTGTGTAATTTGTATTCACTATTTCTCTTTGAAATGACTTTAGTGATTTTCCTTTTATTTAGAAATTAAAAAAAATTATCTCATTATTTTATTATTTATGTATTTTTTTTACTTTTTAGAATGCACATATTAGTTTTTTATATTTGATTGGCAATTTATCAAAGAAAATATAAAATGCAAAAAATTTAAAAAAATTTTTAAAGCCTGATTTTTGTCAAGCAATATTTTTGATAAAAAAGGCAAGGAGCTTCATTTTTGCATGATAAATTTTAACTTTTATAATTTTCATAGGTATTGTAATTTATTTATGTGATACTTTTATTTTTGCTGTAAGAGGCATGAAGTGAAGTGAGGTATGTTGATTTTAATATTCTGTGGTAATCTTTCTCATCATATGCTGCAAATCAAATGTGCTATCCAGAGCAATGTAATTGTGCTACATTGGGTATTGTAAGAATTTTTGTAGGTTTCAAAATTGAAAAGGTATTTTTTCTAAAACAAATTGTATAAGTGATTTTTGATAAATATAACATTAGCAGTGTCTGAAAACATATAATCACAGGTTGTAAGGTGCTACTTTTTAGATTAACATATAAACTTAAAATGAAGATGACATTTGATTTTTTTGTGTGGGAAATATAAGATCTGAAAATTTTTATTCAGTTTTGTAGATGTTTATTGTATATACAAATATATATATATATATATATATATTTTGTAATTGTTGTAAACGGAATAAATGGGGTTTTATGCAAATTATGTTTTTTTTTCTTTCTTCCCCCTTTCTGAATTCACTAATTATACAAGTTTTTTACTTTTTCCCCATTAAAAGAAAAATAATATAATAAAATTTTAGTGTTATATGTAAAAATTTTATTGTAATAACTATGCTTTCAAAAAACTAGCTGCCAAAATCAGTGTCTTATAGGAAATTATTTTATAAGTTGAGAATTTTTTCTATTTTTAACCGAGTTGATATTATTTTTGTATGTGTGCAATGTTTAATAAAAATTCTATGGTATAACCTCTTACTGATAAGTGAAGTACTAATATTTTTGAATTTTCTTTGGGTAGTAGGTTAAAAATGGAGTACTAAAGCAAAAAAGGATGTTGAATTTAACAAACTGAATAGAAATTATATAAGTCAAATTTCTTTAATGACTTAAATTCATAAAGTTTTCAGTTTGATGTAAAATGAGTTGCATATATAAAATATTTAAGTTCAAAGCAAATATAGCATTATTAAAAAAGTGCTAAATAGAAATTTTAAAAAAATGGTATGTAAGCTATCATGCTCGTTTAAAAGTATCAAGCTTATTTAAAAGCACTAATTGATATTAGGTTCAAAATAACAAAGTAATGAATAGAAGTATGAGGATTTGCAAATGAACCTTCCCATAAAGCTTGGCAGTAGAGTGTTTCAAATAATGGGAAAAGGCAGATTAAATTATATATCACATATTTTTGAGGATTGAAATTAAATTAATATTGCTAAATGCTACCATTTTCCAAGACGAAAACTCCAAAGACTATCTAATTCAATCAAATTTTCCTACATTACATACAGCCTTAGTACTGAATATGTCTTGGAACAATTTTCTTAGTATAATATTAAGAACAAAATCGGAAAAAAATAATAAAAATCTGAAGCTTTCAGATTTTATATTATGCCCAAAGGGACGCTTTTCCATTTACATACACATACACGTTTCGAGAGCATTTGGGCTAATGTCCCTTTGGGCTAAAAATATTTAAAAACAGCATATCTTAGAATTTCCGACTGGCAGTTTCATGCGCTGGAGATAAAAATGTTTTTTTTTCTTTTCCGTACAGTGTTGCCATTGCTCGCTTTGAAATTGTCGAGTTTGATTATCAAAGATTCGTTAACGTTTTACGAAATATGAAATACAAAATAAAATATTTAAAAACAGCATATATTTAGAATTTTCGATAGACAGTCTGGCGCATTGGAGATAAAAATGTTTTGCTCCGTGCAGTGTTGCTACTGTTCGCTTTGAAATCATTAAGTGTTTAAACAAAAATTTGTAAAAGTTTTACGAAATATGAAATGGATAGTAAAACAAATCCGAAATTCAAAATTCGAGCTTCCAGGTGCCTATATTCAGGTGGAGGATGTTATTCAAAATTCGATGGCTTTAGGTACTGTTGTTTGTTCACAGTGCGAAAAACATACATACATTCATGCAAATTTTTCATTATTTAATTTCTTTAAGACAGGGCGATAATATTTGGTGGCCACAATTTATAAAGTGATTCAACGCTTTTAATGATTCCACGGAAAATGCCGTTTCCGGCCCCTTTGGACTAAGGGGGAAAAATCCATTTGAATTTTTTTTTAGTTGTAAAAAATTTTATTATTTTTTTAGGGAGAAAAATCAATCTCACCTTTTGTTTTGTCTGTGGAAATATTTATGTTAATTTCGAAATCTAAGGAGCAAATACTACTAAGGAGCAAAACTTTGAGCCTTTCCTGATTTCTCTTACTTCCCCTCGCATTTCCCCCCTCAGGGGCTCACTTTTTGCGAGTACGGATTGTGGCAGTCCCAAGGTACCCTAACCCTTCAGGCGATCATCTTGGTGAGAAAGAAGGGTGTCACAATCCTGGAGCCTCGGTGATCTATCCTGTTTTCTGTCTTCTCTCCTTTTAGCTGAAACTTTTTCCTTCTTTTCTCCTCTTGGGAGGTTGGGGCACGTCATGAGAAACTGGAACAGCCTATGTCTTTAGTTTTCCAATGGCGAGAAAAACTGCTCACGTGTTTTCCGTGCGTGGAGACCCGTGTCGCTGGAAAGGAGGATCTTGGTAGTTGAGGGGCGAGGTACTGTTCCCAACACACTGCTTTGGCCTCTGCTTCTGCTAAACGGGAGGCATCTTGTCGTCCTCGTGGATGGTCACTAGTCTTTGTGTTAGTGGCTTGGAGAAATGCTCTCGGGAGTACCTGCTTTCGGGAAAGCCGACTGCGGGGCTTCAGTTTGCGTATAGACCCGGTTATCCCTGGCGTAGGATTCTGCGTCTCCTTGTTGGATTCCGTGGTGGATGGGGACGCCGGGAACGGATTTTAATTTCCTTCAAATGTGGTTTCACAAATTTTTATTATATCTCATGAAACTGCCAAGGAATTATCAAGTAAAAGACTTCAGACTACGGAAATTACAGAAAACACTAAAGTTCCCCGATTTTTAGTTATGACAGGATCTGCTGAATTACATAAATGTCACCCTTCCTTGTTCAAAAATATATAAAAGCCTTTGCTGAAGAACCAAAATAAATTAAAGCCTTGCGGTCTGGTGACTTATTAATAGAAATTGTCTCTGTTAATCAATCGAAAACCCTTCCTAATATGTCAAAAATGGGACAGTTGCTATTACGGTTTCTGCACACAAAATGCTAAATTCCAGTCATGGCGTGATATCAGATGTCGACCAATTAACAATGTCGAACGAAGAATTCATTGACAAACTTATTGAGTAAAATGTTCGCGATGCATGTTGTATTAAAATAAGACGGGATGGTCAGTTAATTGATACTAAACATGTTATTTTGACCTTTAACTCTCCTCAACTTCTAAATCACATTACAGCAGGCTATTTGCATTGCCCAATGCGACTCTATGTGCCAAACCCTATGCGTTGTTATCAGAGCCAGTGATATGGGCCGTCAGAGGCTGCATGTCGCGGTAACATTACATGCGCTCCCTGTGCTGTTGTGGATCATGAATGTGAGGGCACTGCCGAGCCTTTTTGTGTTAATTGTAAAGGAAGTCATTCATCTTTCTGTCGCTCCTGTCCCAAATTGAAATCCGAAAAGGAAATCCTAACTATAAGAGCAGCCAAAAAAATATCATTTACAGATGATAGCAGATTGTTTGAAAGCACTCAACTTCGTCCAAATCTCAATTTTGCCGATGCAACAAAATTAGTTCGTTCAATAGCCATTCAGACATCTCTTACTATTCAAACAAAGACTAAAACTGAAGTACCACAAAAAATGCCAAATCACAATTTATCTGTCAGTACTAAAGGTACACCAATTCATAAAAAACTTAAAAGTAATTAATATTAAAAACAAACAACGTCCTCTTCAAATAACTTAAACTAAAAAATAGTAAATTCTTGTCATACCTCATTAGAGAGTATGCTATCAGATACATCTGATTCTGAAATGGAATTAGAAGAAAGATTAGCTCTGCCGAAAAATCTTCTACCACGCCTAACAAAGAAACAGCATAGGAAAAATAAACATTCATGATGGCTACCTTAATTTCTTGGAACTGTCGCGGATTTTATCAAGATCTAGTGATCATCAAAAGCTTGATAGATATTTATCACCCTGCCTGTTTAGGAGTGCAGAAGATATTTCTCAAGCAAGATAGCACTGCTAAGTTGTGGAAATACTCAACTGTCAGGAAAAACTTTTTATGTGGTTAGCGCATAAGCGAAGGTGTTGCTGTCCTCACCCCCCATGTCTTTCCTTCGAGTGTCTTTCCTTTGAACACATGTCTCCAAGCTGTTGCGGTGCGGATCAATATCAGAATGCTTGTCACTGTCTGAATCATCTACTTACCTCCTAATGAAGTGATTGATAAAAAGGAATTAGATGATTTGGTAGAACAGTTTCGTGCTCCTTTCATTGTATTTGGAGATTTCAATGGCCCTAATCATCTCTGGGGTAGTGGTGATATAAATTTTAGAGCAAAACAAATAAAAGACCTCATTAGTGATCATTGCTTGTGCTATATTTCCGCCAGCCCACGAGGACATTTCACAGTATTGATCGGGCCATTTGTTCACCATCACTTCTCCCGTTTTGTTTATTAAGCGTTGGGAACGACACTTTTAATAGTGATCATTTCTTTGTTTTCTTGACTTAATCGAGTTACAGCATGGCCCAGTTCCAGATCACTACGCTTTATTTACGAACAAGCAGACTGGGAAATGTTTTCTCATTTGGCTATGCTCACTAATAACATGACAAAGAATGTGCCAATTGATGAAGCTGTAAAAGCTGTCACTGATACTCTTGTTCAGGCAGCTAAAATCTCTGTTCCCATACCGTC